AAAAAAAAAAAATTACCTGCGATGTATTCCTTAATACAATCCGGCAGGAATGGGACGATCTTGATGACGCCATGTTACTTCGGTGCATCGAGAGCATGCCAAGCCGGGTTAAAGCATGTATCAATGCAGAAGAGGACACACCAAATATTAATTAATAATATAAAAGTTGTTGTTCTTATAAATAATAAAAAAAAAAAATATACATTAAAATAAAGTTTGTACATACCGTCAAAATATGTTTCCGCCATTCTTTTCGCCGGGGACTGTATCTTATAATGCAAACTAGCCATATATCAAGTTAAACTCGTATTTTCTTATTAGTACGTTTAGATTTAGGAGAATGGATCATCCGCGTTGTCATACCCTGAAAAGCTTCGCCATCGCCATCTGTCCACAAAAAAATCGCCTATAGAAGTCGAACTTTTGGATAACAGGCGCTAATTTATAAGAATGTTAATTTTTGTATTCTGTATATTATTTCTTCTATAATCAATCTGTGCAAACCTCATATCTCAAGAATCCGATTATACTTTCGTGGGCATTTTTCATATCTTTCCAAGTTTTTGGAAGGGGAAATTTCAATACTTCTTCCATGGTGTATATTTCAGAATATTTGAGCTGAAATTCGTATATGATAACCTGACATACTGTAAACTCCAAAAGTTAGTAATATGCAATTATAATGAGCGATAATAATGTGCCCAAAACGTACAATATAATTGCATTCCGTATAGTCTAACCATTATAATATCGGAACCTGGACGAAGCTTTGCGAATCGATTAATCAATGTTTTTAACATCTTAGCTATTTTCAGCCGATCTCCAATAAAATGCGACCAATCATTTTTATTTGGGGACCGCTGACTTCTGTAACCGAGAACTCCTCGTTATCTTCCTATATTACAAAAATCGTGTCAATATTCTTGCCAGGAGAACGTCGTTCATTATCCGCTTTTTGAGAATTAAGATCTTCGGCATTTGCCTTAAGGCATGTTTCCCCGTATTTTGGGTACCAGATCTTCTTATTTTTCATAAAAATTTTATTCAGAATTGGCGCCAGAAAAATTACAATGAACGACCCTTCGGACATATCTTCGAGAAGCACATTAACATCTTCCATAAGTTCAATCCTATAAACCATGGGCTTGTTAGTCTTATTACATTTCTCAATGGAAATCAAGCAAAATATAGTCTTACATATGATTTATAAAAAACAAAGCAAAATCTTCCTCAAATGACTCAACATTCTTCCGTAGTTTAAGATTTTCTTTAGTTTTGTTTATGTCGCGAACAATAATGTTGTTCAGAAATGATTTAATGTTTTCTTCAATATCGCATTTTGTTCCTTCATCCTTTCTCCTCATATCATTACGCATCTGCATAACGGTGTTTTCTTCCAGTGTCCCCAAAAACGTGTCTTGATTTTTATCAGTAAAAAGTATTACATCATAGTATTCTGGCCTCGTTTTTGGTAGACCTGTTTCCTGGTATTCTGTAAGTTTGTCACGGATATTAATCCCGCCAACTAACCAACTAATACTTTTTCCGCACACAATTGTTTGTTCCGCGTCATACTCCTCTTCAAAATTACTTTCATCCTCTAGATCATGTTTTCTTCTTGTGATGATTCAACGATAAAAGGATTTGGACCAATAGGTAAGATATCATGATCTATTGTGATCTGTCTTTCTGGAGTTTTATAACAACTAACGGATACATCAGCTTGAGTGAATGTTGTGTAAAGTGTGGAATTTGCGGACCTTGCAGTGTTAGCTAATAATTTAAGCTATACATAATTTTAAGAATATTTGTAAGCTACACATATTGATGAATATATTTGTCGGGATAGTGCAAGATACTTACCCTGTTCTGAAGCATATCCGACCTAACCGAATGAGCTGTGATTTTGTTTTAATAACTCTGCACACTTCTTTTTGTCCGCTTTATATGTGTCAATCAGCTTTTTTGCCATAGTCTTTTGCTCGTCGTCAAACTCTGATGATTTACAAATATTTTGTAATCCTTCCTTGTAAAAGTACAAGCAGTCCTTTTTTGAGAATCCTGGTCCGACATGCGCGTCGATAAAAGAGCAAAGACTCCATAGCTCGAAAGGAGTAGTAAAAAAATATGGATCAATAAACCCTTTCATGGTACCTTCCGAAATTTCTGTAGTCATGATGGAAAATTTTTAGACGAGAAATCCAGTTTATAATTACACATTTGACATTTCTTAAGAAAGCATCGCGCGGTCTATCATTCATCACCCGTGACACAAAAAAAACGCGTCTATAAATTAAGTCATTTCTGATCATGACATATTTACTCAGATCGGCGATAAAGATAAGTATATTATTCCGATGTCGAACACTCATGCGAGTGTTAGCAGTTCGTCCTAAGCCCACTTCTTGCGACGATGGGTTAGGTTATGCGAACGGACAACTGCTATAATCACACCTTGTCCTAAGCCCGATTTCTTGCGACGACGGTTTAGTCCGGTTACTTGCGACGACGGTTAGGTCTTGTGACGGACGGGTGCAATATCCCAGAACTGTTTAATCTGATATTTTTTACCCTATTATTTCATAGCATATGGACCGCATACCGTCAAAAACGAAATAAATAAGGACTTTGGTATGAAATTGTTAGATATGAGGTATGGAGATCGTTCCTGTTAAGTCTTTTTTGATCTTGAGGTGCACTAATATTATTTCATTCCCATTTGGTGATTATTATCTCCACGATATTGTCACAGATGGTATACAATTGATTTTATATCAAATTTAATTTTTATACGATTATTTTTTCCATCATTTTATTGCAGGTAAGGATTGCCTTTTCCTGCTATATAGTTCAGGAGATTTACTTGTTTTGATTGTTGATAACGCATTTTTGTCTTGCGTCTTTGCCGTAACTCTTTTTTGCAAATCTAACAGAGCATCAAAACTTGTGGATAGTTCATCAATGATATTAATGATATTGATAATTTGTCTATATTTGTGGTAGGTTCGAAAGTTGTTTTTCTTAGCTTGATCATTTCTTAACAACGTTTACTAAAATACAAGGGAGGTTTTGTGATGACATTAACCGAATGAAAGAAAAAAAAATATAGAAGTCTGCAATCGGTGTTGAGCTACACTGGGAACGCCACAGTTTAGGAAACTAATGAAATGATCTTTTTTTTTCAACTTGTAACTATGCCTGTATCATGCAAAAATATGTAATTTATTTTCAATATTAGCATATACCGAAGTTTAATAAAATAATATTAATAAAATTTCGCACATAGACGTGTGTGAATAATGTATGTGAATGTGTGTGTAAAAAAATAAAATTTTGAGGCAAAGTTGTGAATAAATGCATTTAAATATTTGAATTTATTCAATGAGACCCAACTCCCGAAGATGATTTGGAATAACTACATGCGGGTCTTCATAATACCAAACATACCTTAGGGCAATCTGATTCTCTTCGCATAATTCTTTCTTGAGTTGATCCCGTGCTTGCTGTTTGATAAAATTATTGGGATCGGCATTATGAAAGAATTTGATATATTTTTCATGTTGTACGCCCTGTACTTCGATTGCAAAGCCATATTCTGGGTAATAAATATCAAGTTCTAATCCTGTGGGACATTCTGATGTTTTGAGAAAATTAGGTTTGCGGATTAGTGAAGGAGGGCCAAGATATTTTGTTAAAATTTCATGACATAGCTTTTCTCTTTTATATTTTGAACAGAATGGGCACCACGAGTTTAAATGTTTAATGTTATCAAAAGTAGCAAACCATCTATGCTTTTTATCACACATCCATAATAAAGCTGAACGATTATTAATATAATAATCAGAAAGACAAGCTCCCTTTCTCTTATAAGCAAATTGTTTGGCATCTTCAAGTGTACAAGGCCTATTATTTGCGCAATATGGACACCATGTCTTATTATTTTTCACATTGTTAAAAAATGCATTCCACTCATGCCCTTCAGAACAACGCCATGATAAAGGTGAAAAACTATTATCATACGTTTTGGAAAGACACTCTTCATTCTTACTAAAAGCAACTTGTTTAGCATCTTCAATTGTATGATCGGCCTTATTTGCACAATACGGACACCATGTCTTACCATTCTTGATATTGTTAAGAGATGTAGTCCACTCATGACCGTTTGCACATTGCCATTGCATTGAAATGTTAGCATTAACATATTCAGTAGAAAGACAAAGCCCACCACGTTTTCCAGCAATTGCACAAGCATCGTTTATTGTCAACTTTCTCATTGCAAATAGGTGATTCTTCATCAAAAAAATCAAAACTTTAATTTCAGGAGTAATGAATCTTTATGATCCTTTTTTTTGCTTCTCTCGTAACTCTACCTCTTTTGAAGGTTTAATGGACTATCAAATCTCAACTGAATTGCCAGTGGATCATCATCTGATTTATTTAGATCAAAGACAATAAATTCACCTTTTCGAAGGTAACTATTAACAACCATAGAGGTATTTTTCACATCTTCAGTATATCATCCAATGACCTTGGAAATATCTTGATGGAAACTGCCACCATTAAAGATTACTAGATGTGAAATATTTTCACAGATAATTATTAGTGTATAATGGTAACATTGTGTTATATATATGCTTGAAATATTTCTATAACGCCAATGTATAAAAAATGGAATGATTCGATTTTGAATGGACTCAGAAGCCACACATAAATCCTCAAAAATAATTGCTGTGCTTCTCTCAGGCGAAAATACTCTAACACTAGGAATTTTTTCTGGCGATATATAGCTAAATCATATATTCTCATAGTAAGGCGTTTTTGGATCTTTTGAAATTATGCTATACATATATCTTACAAATGCCCACTTTGGCTCATCAGGATGATAACTGCAAACTATCAAATTATCACATGCAATATATTTAGAGCTATACGAAGTGTCTCTTAGCTCTTTCTTACCTTTATATATGCATTCAGCTTTATTACCAAGAAAAAGATTTGCCAAGATATTAGTCTTACCTGATCCACTTTTTTTCAGTGACTAGCATTGAGAAAGGCCATGATGGACTTGTAAAATGTGATTGAATTCGGGATGATTCGTGGCCTCATCTATATCCATAAGGTAAAGTTTCATAGGGTAATCCTGTTTTTTGGTTCTTTTGCATATCAGATTGGGAATCTATAATTATAATTTCTATTTAAGGGTATTTTATAGTTCAGAATATTTTTTTCGTAGGCAGGATATTGGTTACTTTTTTTTGCGAATTTTACTATTTCTTGACCATGAACTATATAACCACAATCAGTATAAAAGTAAGCATAGAATATAATACCATCGGTGACATTAGAGAACTCCTAATGGCAGGAACAATCACTAGTATTAGAGATATTACTTAAGGTGATGGTATCACTTCTGCATCACCTAATTGCTTCGCAACTTCTTTTCTCAAAATATACTTTTCAGAATGTGCTAGTTGACTATGAATGGATTGATTGGGTAAGATATCTGTCTGGCTTTTCGCCTCATCCCAGGGTAATAGCTCTTGCAAAGCCTCTAATATATTTTCTCTGGCAAAACTTTTATCAAGTTTCATAACTTTATCTTCAAGACCACGCTTATAGACGAGGGGTCTTAAATCATCACTGACTCAATCTGGTAGCTTTTGCAATAAATCATTTATAGGTGAAGGTGAGGGCTTAAAGAGATCTGCTATTTCATTATGCGAAGCGTCTCTCAGCTCTTTCATCTATCAATTTTAATCGCCCTGAAAACTGAATATCTATTTCCCGTTTATATATACTATCTGATGACTTTATTCCTTTTTCCATACATTCTATTTTATATTTTTTTGAACTAAGGTCCTCGTTCGCTCGTTTTAATGCAAGCTTGAGAGAATCAATCTCTTTAGGGTCAGATAAGTTTATTTAGGCTGGCTCTTCTTTCACTCCTCCCATTACATCTGAATCATGAAACACCTGTTCTAGTTCTAAATCATCCAACTTACCTTCTAATTCTCGTATTTTAGCTTTAAGAGAGAAAATCTTGATCTTGTTAGCAAACGAAGCTTTCTGAGCTAAAGCTAGTTCTCTTTTTAGTATTTTAATAGAAGATTTGAGCGATTTGATTTCAGCAGTATATTTGACTTCAAGCTCACTATTAGCTGTATTCAGCTGACTAAACTTATTATTAAAATCTGAACAGATACGATTAAAATCTTTCACTCGCTCTAAATATACATCCTGCAAGTCTTTATATTCATTAGCAGTATCAGAAGCAGTTTTGATACTATTGTGCAATGCTTTCTCAAGTTCTGATTCACAGATGCTACCAAGCCGATGACCTGAAGGGATTTGTTTACCTAATAAACCTTTAACTACTCCTTTATCTTCGATATCTTTTAAGGTATACACATTGGTCATAATTTTTTTTCAGCCTAGTCATTAGTATACTAAAAAATTATGAGCAATCCTAAAAACACTTTATTTTTTATGGATACTACTGATACTACTGATACTACCATTACTACAATATTATCGATACTATCATACTACTAATACTATTATTACTAATATTACTAATACTACTGATACTACTAATATTACCATATTACTGATACTAGCATACTATCGATACTACCAATACTACCGATAATACTATATTACTGATATTAGCATAATACTAGTATTACTAATATTTTTGTACATTTATTTATAGTGAAAAAAAATCTCTAGCGATTAACTACTAATATGATCACATTTCAGCTTAAAACACATATTAGTTCTAGAGATAGTTACTTGTTTCTCACAGATTATAAAGACATTATGCAATATTGTGATATGAAGTCCAAACCTTTAGCTCAGTTAAGTAAAAAATATAATATATTGAATAGTTGTTTATATTAAATTTGGAGAAGACAGGAGTTAAACAAGATTCAATGGAATGATTTAGCAGTCATTTCAAGCATAAACATTATGGATAAACAGAATGAGAAGCAGATCCTAGAGAGATCACGTCAAACTGAAAGACCAAAGGAAGAATTTCAAAATAAATTCGATTCTGCCTTCACAGCACTGAAAAATAAAATACATGATACTAAAATTAGTGTTTCAGAAGAGAATGTTATTTCAGATAATAAAGCGAAAAAACTGAAGGAAGAAAATCGAGAACCAAGGCTATTC